AATCTGCAGGTGTCTTTAAGTCTAAAATGAGTCTCTTGTAGGCAGCATATCCATTCTGTTTTTTAATCCATTCTGACACCCTATGTTTTTTTGATTGGAGCATTTAGTCCATTTACATTCAGAGTAATTATTGATAGATATGAATTTATTTCCATTGTATTACCTATAAAGTTGTTGTTTCTGGAGATTTTTCTCAGTTCCTTTCTAGTCTTTGTTGTTTTTGGTCTTTCTTTCCCACTCAAAGAGTCTCCTTTAATATTTCTTGCAGGGCTGGTTTAGTGGTCATAAACTCCTTTAGTTTTTGTTTGTCTGGGAAACTCTGTACCTCTCCTCTTATTCTGAATAACAACCTTGCTGGCTAAAGTATTCTTGGCTACATATTTTTCCCATTCAGTATGTTGAATATGTCACCACTCTCTTCTGGCCTGCTAAGTTTCTGTGGAGAGATCTGCTGCTAACCTTATTTGTCTTCCCCTGTAAGTTAGGGATTTCTTTTATCTTGCTGCTTTTAGGATTTTTTCCCTTATCTCTATATTTTGCAAATTTAACTGTGTTATGTCTTGGTATTGGCCTGCTTTTGTTGATTTTGATGGGAGTTCTCTGTGCCTCCTGGATCTGGATATCTGTTTCCTTCCCCAGATTAGGGAAATTTTCAGCTATTATTCCCTCAAATAAACCTTCTGTCCCCTTTTCACTCTCTTCTTCTGGGACTCCTATGATATGAATGTTATTATGTTTGATGGAGTCACTGAATTCCCTAAGTCTGCATTTGTGATCTATTATTTTTCTTTCCCTCTTCTTTTCAGCTTCATTTGTTTTCGTAATTTTATCTTTTGTATCACTTATTCATTCCTCCGATTCTTCCATTCTTATAGTCATTACATCCAGTGGGTTTTAAATCTCAGTTAATTACATTTTTTGTTTTGGTCTGACTAGTTTTTAGATCTTTTATCTCTGAGGTAAGAGACTCCCTCGTGTCTTCTGTGCTTTTTTCAAGTCCAGCTAGTATTCTTGTGATTGTTGCTTTAAGTTCTGGGTCAGGCATATTATTTATATCTGTTTCAATCAGAGCCCTGGCTGTGACCTTTTCTGGTTCTTTATTTTGGGATGAATTCCTCCATCTTGACATTTTGTCTAGGTCTTTATTTTGTTCTGTGTATTAGGAAAGCCTGTTATGTCTCCTGCTTCTGGGAGTAATGGCTTTATAAAGAAGAGGTCCTACACTGTCTAGGGCCTGGTGCTTTAGGAAGTGTCTCTGAGGTATGTCGTATGTACTCTCTGGCTGTATTTTGGTTGCTCTTTCCCTCAGGTTAGTCCTCTGCAGAGTTTCTCCTTGCCTGCAGTGGGGAGTGTTTGGACCTTGGCCAGAGTGGGCTGAGTTTTAACTAGGTGTGTTCTGGTCTGCTTGTTAAAAGAGACCTGATGCTATTTCCACTAGTGCTGAAGCTCTGCAGAACTCTCTTGTCAGTAGACTTGGTGCATGTGGGGGATTTGTGCTGGTCTTCTGAGGGAGCGGTCTGCTGCACCGGTCTCAGGCATACTTGTCTGAGAAAAGCAGCACCTTCAGAGCACTGGGTGGGTGAGGCTTGGTATAAGCAGTTCAGGCCACCAGTGTTGGTGCTGTGCTGCTTACTGAAGTTAGTTTATGCTGAGGGGCAGGGGAGAGAAATGGCATCAGCCCCCTCCCTCATCCCTGGAGAGGGGAGTTTGTACCTGCCACTGTCCAGGAAGCCCTCCCAGAAAAGCATGTGTCCCAAGCATCCCTCAGATCTCTTCCTTCACCCTGTCTGTGTCTGGGCTGTCTGCCTGCCGGCATCGCAGTGCACCTGTGTTCTATCCCAGGTAGGCTGGCTGAGTTTTAAAACTCCAAATTTTAGGGACCTGGCATGGCATGGACCATAGGATATATGCTTTTTTAATGTGCATGTGGACTTTATTTTTCAGGACTTCATTTTATTTTGTATTTATAGTGTATAAAAACCTTTACGTTACTTAAAACTTAAAAAAAAATTTAGACATGGAGTGCCTGGCTGGCTCAGTTGGTAGAGCATGCTACTCTTGATCTTGGGATTGTGAGTTTGAGCCCCAGGTTGGGTGTAGAGCTTATTTTTTTCTTTTTTTTTAAAGATTTTATTTATTTGAGAGAGAGAGAGCGCATAAACTGGCAGAGGGGCAGAGGGAGAGGCAGACTCCCTGCTGGGCAGGGAGCCTAATGTCGGGCTCGATCCCAGGACCCTGAGATCATGAACTGAGCTGAAGGTAGACGCTTAACCTACTGAGCCACCCAGGTGCCCAGGGTGTGGAGCTTACTTAAGAAAGTTCAGGCATATAAAAGTTTATTTAAAACACATGTAATATAATAAGATAAAAATACAGTAACTACCTGTGTACCAACCTGGCTTAAAAAATAAAACGTTAGGGTGCCTGGGTGGCTCAGTCAGTTATGTGTCTCCCTTTGGCTCAGGTCATGATCTCAGGGTCCTGGGATCAAGCCCAGCATCGGGCTCCCTGCTCCCCGGGGAGTCTGCTTCTCCCGCTGCCCCCTCCCTGCCCCCCTCCACTCATGCTTGCACTCTCTCACAAAAATAAATAAAATCTTAAAAATAAAACAAAAAACATTATACATATGTACATTGCTCAAAGCATCGGTGTTTATAATAGCAAAGAACTGGAAACAACCTAAATGTCTATTCTGTTGTTGATAGGTACAAGTAGTGAAAGTAATGACATGGATATGTTTCATAGAAGTATTCATACAAGTATGATTCTATTAAATGAAGTTCAGAAATATGTAAAATTAAATATATCAGTTAGAGATACACATATGGGGAAAACCACAAAGAAAAAAGAGTATATTAAAACAAAAATCAGAATGGTGGTCACTTCTGAGAAAGTAGGAAAGGGACTATCTTGAGACAAGTAATTATAGGGGATTTCAAAGGAAATAGAATGTTCTTAAATTGAGTATTGGATAAGCGGATGTTCATTATATCCTCATATCCTGCATATTATATAAATATTTTGTTCCTATTCAATATTTAACAATAGTTTTTTTAAAAAAGCAAACATTATGAATATCGTCCAAGCCCTGTGTATTCCTTCACAAATGTATTCCCTTTTTCTCAGAGATAACCACACTCCTCAATTTAGAATTTATTATATGCAGGTCTTTAACCTGAGTATTATGTTGCAGACATATGGAAACAACAAAATACGAGGAATGTTACAGTTATTCATTAGCATTTTCACTGGTAACTTGGCACTCTTTATCTCAGTGGTTTGTCAAGATTGTGTCATGTATAGCTATTAAAAGGATAATTAGAGTAGCTACCTCCCAATTCAAATGCAGGTAAACATCATCCATGCCTTACATTATTATATTGTGTGGATATACTTGATTTTATCCTCTATTTTAGGACATTAAAGTTGTTTCTAGATTTAAAAAGATAGAACAGCAATGTCTGTTCTATAAATTTGTGCACAGGCCCAATATAAAAATTGGGTCGTGTTATAATGGATATTTGCTATGGCACTTGTCTTTTTTTTCACTTACACCCTATTCCATGTCTGTACAATAGATAGATTTTTTTTTTTCTTAAGATTTTATTTATTCCAGACAGAGAGAAAGCGGGGGAGGAGCAGAGGGAGAGGGACAAGCAGATTCTGCACTGAATGCGGGATGGACGCAGGGCTTGATCCCAGGACCTCAAGATCATGATCTGAGACACAACTGACTGAGCCACCCAGGCGCCCCCCCCTTTTTTTTAAATAACAACTTACCAACATAGTTTTCATTGTATACATGTGCAGTAAGATTTTATCATTTCTTTATTGATGGATATTTAAGCTATCTACAGATAATATTGCTAGGAATATCCTTATATTTGTGAATTTTAGGGAGTATTTCTGTGTTTGTGGTCCTGGAAATGGGAATTGCTAGTTTCAAGAGTGAATATTTCAAATTTCCAGATTGTCAGATTGCCTTCTAAAAAGGTTATACCGTTTGACACCTTGGTAATAGGGGGACTTCCCTCCCTCCTAAGGTTAGATTAGATTCCCTTGCTATAAGATCTTATAATGCTTTGTATTTTTATAACTTTCGTAGCAGTTGGCTATTGTTAATCTTCAGTAATTTGTTTACCTGCATTGGCTAGCAAAGTGTCACTCAGTTATGGCGGATATTCACTAAGGACAGGATAAGTTGAAAGTTCTGCCTGCAATTGTGTGTTAGAGATGGGAAGTTAGAGGAAATTTGCTCTTCTGGTTTATTTTTTGTGCAGAGTTCCTCCTTCTTTTCTAAACTTAGTCGCTTTGACAAGTAGTTCTAGTGGTTTGTGGATCTTTAGCTTTGGTACTTCTTTACATATTTTCTTCCTGCCAGCTGGGTTTGTTTGCTGCCGAGAAAGTTATGCCTGTCATGTTATTGATGTCTCCTTCCTGCCCTCTGTACAAGTTGATGAAGGTCTTGGCTCTGCTTTCAACCTAAGACTAGAGTGTCATTTTTCCAGAAGGGCAACCCCTTTTGATTCCAGTGTCTTTCTTGAACCTGGTCCAAACTGTTTTGTGTATTGATGATTTTTCTCTTAATAGAAACGATGAGGCCTTTTTCTAGTTTTTAGTTATGTGATGATATCTTTTATTTTTTCATTTTTAAAATTTCTTTTTTGGGGTGCCTTAGTGGCTCAGTCAGTTAAGAGTCTGCTTTCACTCGGGTCATGATCCCAGGGTCTTGGGATAGAGCTCCGCATTGGGCTCCCTGCTCATTGGGGAGCCTGCTTCTTTCTCTCCCTCTGCCTGCCTCTCCCCCTGCTTGTGCTCTCTCTCTCTCTCTATTAAATAAATAAAATCTTAAAAAAAATTTCTTTTTTGTCATTTTAAGGTAGAAAAGTGCTACACACTTTAAGTAACACCAGTGATTTTCCAATAAAACTTAATTCCTTTAAGTATATCTATTTATAGAACATTTTTATCCAGTGCCATTCATTTTTCCTTTGGTTTAGATAACCTCAAAATCTCTGACTTTGGCTTGGCAACAGTGTTTCGGCATAATAATCGTGAACGTTTATTGAACAAGATGTGTGGTACTTTACCTTATGTTGCTCCAGAACTTCTAAAGAGAAAAGAATTTCATGCAGAACCAGTTGATGTTTGGTCCTGTGGAATAGTACTTACGGCAATGTTGGCTGGAGGTAAGAGCTGTTTAATTAATCATGATGAAACTCCTGTCCTATGGAAAGCCAGATTTGTTATACCAAAATAAATGAAACAAACCAAGGAAATCCATATTTATATGATAATATTTTTTTTAAATTTTTTAAAGATTTTATTTATTTGTCAGAGAGCACAAGCAGGGGAAGCGGCAGGCAGAGGGAGAAGCAGGCTCCCTGCTGAGCAAGGAGCCCGATGTGGGACTCGATCCCAGGACCCTGGGATCACGACCTGAGCTGAAGGCAGATGCTTAACGGACTGAGCCACCCAGGCATCCCCTATATGATTGTATTTTAATAGTGAACTTATTTATAACTAAGTTGGAACTTTGAATCCCAAAACTTTTTAAAAATGAGGTATGTATAGCTATTAAATGAAATATCACAATAGCAATCTCTTAAGATTCATGTGAATAATTTTGGAAACAGTAGAGCAGAAGTGGTAGTTTATCTTTGAAGTGCCTCCTATGTCTGTGAGTTGGCATTCTTAGTTTGAAAACCATATTGAATTAATTTGGAGGAAACTTTTAATGGGTTTGTATCATTGACTATTTTCCTTTAAAACTTTACTATATAATAATGTGAACATTCAGAAAACCGGGACTTGTTTCTTTTTTAGAATTGCCATGGGACCAGCCCAGTGACAGTTGTCAGGAATATTCTGATTGGAAAGAAAAAAAGACATACCTCAACCCTTGGAAAAAAATTGATTCAGCTCCTCTAGGTAACTGGGTTATGTTGATTGAAAGTACTGATTTCTTGGATAATGAAGCTTAGTGATGTTTGCATTTTTTTCTTATATATATATTTTTCTTTTTAACTTTTAAATAATCACATAAGTAATATGTGGTCCTTGCAGATAGATTAGAAAATAATAATTTTTTAAAAAAACCAACTGCATAATTCCAGCACTCAGAAATAGCTTCTTTTAATATTTTGATATGCAGTTCTACACTTTGTGGTAAAAATGTATAACAAATATGTTTGTTATGTATGTATATTATTTATAACTATGTTTTTATAGAAAATGAGATCACACTACACATGCTATTTTATAACCTGTTTTTTTGTCTTAATGCTGTAGTCATGGACGTTTTTCCATGACTGTAATTGTAGGTCTACATCATTGTTTTTAAAGGCTGTGATGGAATTTTGCTATGTGGGTATGTTTTACTATAGTCATCCAATTCACTTCTTTTAGAGATTTATATATTTTAAAAATTTTTCACTTATGAAAGAGATATGGTGATCATCCATGTAATGCACATACCTTTAAATCATTTAAAAAAAATCCACAAGTGTCAGGAATGTATGGTTTACTTGGCCAAATTGCTTTTTTTTTTCTTCTGTGTTTTATAATTTTTTTAAAATTTTATTTTATTATGTTATGTTAATCACCATACATTACATCATTAGTTTTTGATGCAGTGTTCCATGATTCATTGTTTGCGTATAACACCCAGTGCTGCATTCAATACATGCCCTCTTTAATACCCATCACCAGGCTAACGCATCCCCCCACCCCCCCAAATTGCTGTTTTAGAAAGTTTGTACCATTTCATCACAATCTCATTAGTTAATATTTAAAAAAATTTTTTTAAAGATTTTATTTGTTTGTTTTTAAAGATTTTATTTATTTATTTGACAGAGAGAGTGCACGCACCAGCAGGGGGAGCAGCGGCAGGCAGAGGGAGAAGCAGGCTCCCCACTGAGCAGGGAGCCTGATCTGGGGCTCGATCCCAGGACCCTGAGATCATGACCTGAACCGATAGGACAGATGCTTACCTGACTGAGCCACCCAGGCGCCCCAAAGATTTATTTATTTTAGAGAGAGAGCACACATGATGCATGCATGCAGTGGGGAGGGGTAGAGACTGTCTTCTGCAAACTCCGCACTGAGCATGGAGCCCAACATGGTGCTCGATCTCAGGACTCTGAGATCGCAACCTGAGTGGAAACTAAGAGTCGGTTGCTTAACCGACTGAGCCACCCAGGCACCCCTGTATTCACTGTTTTCTTATTTTTATTTTTAATTTAATACCAATGAGGTTGTACATCCATTGCTAGCTTTTTGTCCATTTTTGTGGATGATCTGTTTTGCTCACCTGCGGCAGTGAGGTTTTCTTACTACTTTGTATGAGTTTTTTTTTTTTTAACATTAATGTCATTAGATCTTTGCATTTGTTACAAATATTTTTCACAATATGCCATGCATTTTTATTTTGTTTATGTTATTTTCACATGCAGAAGTTTTATATTTTTATTCAGATCTATTATTTTGTTCTTTGTGGTTTTCTGACTGTATTGTTATGTTTGGAAAGGTCTTCCCTACCCCTAACTTTAGAAAAAAATTCCCTGTGTTTTCGTGTTTTTATAGCTTCAGTTTTTCATTTAAATCTTTGGTAGTTAGGATGATAGTTGCTTACATTATTGTCTCTTAAAAAGTTACTGGAAAGTAAATTTTCCTTATAAAACTGTGTGAATGAGGATGTAACATGACATATTGGAACAATGAAGTTTGGTATTGAAAGTGGATGAGGGTTTTTGTATCTTTTTGTTAATGTTGTCACATGGGGAGAAACATTTCCACCAGACTCTTATTCTGCTTACTTGCAGACAGCTGAGAATTAGATCTGAGAATGATCTTCTAAGATACAGACAGTAGCAAAAAGCAACTACATGAAATTAAAGCAATAATGTAGTAGCTTTATTCTTTCTCTTGCCCAGAAATATTTGGATATAAGGAGACTAATAGAGAATATGTTCCACAGCACAAGTTTCTAATCTGCATGACTCTTTTGTAAATGTTGTATTAATATTTTATTTTCAGCTTTGCTGCATAAAATCCTAATTGAGAATCCATCAGTAAGAATTACCATCCCAGACATCAAAAAAGATCGATGGTACAACAAACCTCTCAAGAAAGGTAATATCATGAAAAATACAAGTATTTTTTTCTGTGAAAGAAAAGACACTTGCAGTCAGTATTACAGGTCAACAACACAAGATACCTGTGGTCTAAGTCCTCATGTTGGTTGGTTATAATGTCTAGTAGGGAAAACAGAAATACAAAAATTAATTTTGAAGTTTATTAATAAAGTGGAAAGTCAGAGTACTATAGCTAAGTGTTTGACCAAGTCTTAAGTGACAGAGAAAACTTGTCTTCCTGAGGAAATCACATTAAATCTAAGGTCTGAAGATTAAAGGGGAGCTAGCTAGATGAGTACTAGCAAGATGAGTGTCAGATTCTGAAAGAAGAAGCAGCATCTGGAGAGTCTTGGAATTTGGAAGGTGGTACATTTGAGGAACTTGAAAGAAGGCCAGTATGGCATGGACTATGTCTGGCTTATTCATCACGGTTGTCACCAGAGGTTAGCACGGTGTGTTGTACATTGTAGGCTCTCAGTAAATGTTTATTGAATAAATGAGTGAATAAAGAAGGGGGAGAGGGAGAGAGGTTTGAGATGAAGGTGGAAAGGTAGACAGTGACCAAATTGTGGAGGGGGACCTTATAAACCACATTAAGGATTTTGGACTTTAACTTGAGGCCACTGAAGAAGCCTTTGAGAGATTTTAAGCCAGGAAGTACATGATCATATATTTGGTTTTAAAAGATCTTTCTAGCTACTTTTTTTTTCCCTATTGTTTTTGACATTTTTGATCCTGAATGTGAGAAGATGGTACCTTGGATGAGGTTAGTGGCAGTGGGATTGGAAGGAGGAAGTAGATTCCAAAGAAATTTACCAATTAGAATTGATAGGACTGGTGATTGTTTATATATAGAAAATGAAGGAGGATGAGGAATCCAGGATGACTCCTTTCTGGGTTTACCAACTCAGAAAGTGGTGGTGCCATTTACTGGAACATAACTCAGGAAAAACAAAATTGGGGGGGAAATTTTATTTGATTTTGGACATGTTGAATTTAAGAAGTAAAACTGTCTAATAAAGAGATGTGTGTATGTGTGTAACTCAGGAGATAGGACCAGGCTTGAGATGTCAGTATTTAGGTGTTTTCTGCAAATAGACAGTAATTTAAACTGGTAGATGAAATTGAGTGTATGAAACTTTAAGGAAACTTAAATCTCTAACATTTAAGAGATAGGTAGAGGCCAGGGAAACAGAGAAAAATAGCCAAAGAGATGGGAGGAATAACAGGAGAATATGGAGGAATTGAGGCTAAGAGAAGAAAACGCATGATACTAGCTAATACTGTTAAGTGAATTAATAACGAACCCTAAAATTTCCCAATAGTTATTCAGGATTGTGGCAGGAACAGGTTTGGTGGAGAGCTGGGAGTAATTAAGTACAGTGATTATAGTCTAAAAGAGAGATAGTGAAGCAGAGTGTAGACAGCTCATTCAAGCAGTCTGGCTGTGAATGGGCGGAGAGACCACAATGGCTAGAGATGAATGAGGAGTTTTTAACTCTTCTCTGAATGTGTCTTTTACCTTTCACTCTGTTCTAATAGGAATCCAACTCTCTTCTGAGAACACAGGCTTCCTCTCCAGTGGTAGATGTTTTCTTTCCCACATGCTGCTACCCTTGAAACACGGGGTGGGGCAGACATCCTTTTTGTTCTTCATTGCCACTTTTTCCCTTTTTCCCACATTTCTCCCCCGCTTCACTTTGAATCTCATATTATCAGATTACCACCCACAGTTCCATCCTTGTTATAGTCAGCTTCTGAACCCCCAATTAAAATTCCTGCCACATTGTCACTCTCTCCAACATGACTCTTGATGTACATTTTGTCATGGTTCTTGGTGATTTAAATATTCATTTGGATGATCCTTCCAATATCTTGATCTCATATTTCCTTGGCCCTCCCTCCCCTAGTGATCTCTTCAAGCATCCTGCTTTGATTACTGGTATATTTTTTTCTGGTTTCCTCCTCTAGTACCCTGACTCCAGCAATCCTGTGACCCTACTTGGATATGTAATCCACTAATTCTACTTCCTTTTCACTATCTCTTATCTGCTCCCTCCCTAGGTCCTCATTTCCATCCTCACTACTTTAAATCCCAAGGTCAATCATTATAATGTCTTCTTTACATTCAGCTTCAGCTTTCCGGCCCTATTCTCTCTTCATCATGCTTACTGGTCAAAACCTAACCCAAGTTTAATCCAGTCTTCTGCCTACTCTACATTTAACACCTGCATAGCTGATCACATTTGGACCAAAATATATGACAGTGTTCACTTTAAATTCAGGCTCACTAATCTCAAGTGAGCCCTTAATTCTGCCAGGCAATTATAATGCCTTTCTTTACTTCTTTCACAACCTCACTCTCCTAAATCACATTTGTATGCCTTTTCTTTTTCTTCAAATTCTAATATCTCCTTCCCCATCCTCACTCTCAGTTGGTGACAGTACTTCCTGCTTCACTGAGAAATAGAAACAATCATAAGGAAACTTCCACAAGCTCCCATCACCATTTCTACTCACCTAACCAGCTGCCTCTGTGCTCATATACTCTGCTTTCTCCTCAGTTGCTAGGAATAAATTGTCTGCTCCAGATATAAGCCAACTCTGTCTTGTGCACGATGCCCAGTTCTCCTTTGCTTACTCAGGGACATTGTCTAGCAATTCTTCTGTCTTCGTCCTGTATCATTAATTTTTCTCTCTCTCCTGCTTTCTCATTAACATACCAGTATGCTGTTCCTTCATCTTACTGCCTGATGCATAGTAGCTTTAATAAAATATTTGGATAAATGAATTAATAAATAAAATGTTTGGCTAAATAAAAGTGTGTTTAAATGGTTTTGAGACAGTTCCAGTTGAGAGGAAAAGGCTGAAGGTCTAAGAGAGAAGGAATGAAGGAGCATCAAGACCCCTGAAGAGAAAGGAGGGTATGGGGCTCACATACAAGTAGAGGGATGGGCATTGGATAGGAGCATGGAAGGGAAGGAAGTGTGGGTAGTTGTGGGAATTTCACAAGAGTATAGCAGTTTTGAAGTAATCATTTGGAGAAAGGGAGAGGAAACTGACTAGAGAAACACAGGACTAACTGTCAGTGTTGAGGATCCAGCTAAGGATAGTAACCATGAATTTATAGTGGCATCATTTTCTGTATAATAATTATTCTTGGTACCTTTTTCAGGGGAGCAAAGAATGTTGGATAGAGTAGATTGATAATGTTTATTGCCATTATCATAAATTATTTTTTATTTTAAAAAGTTTTGATTTTTTAGCTAGGTCTCTTTGTCTTCATAGACCATTGTCTGTTACTATAAATGGTACCATTAAAATAATGACCTTTATGTGAAACCCCACACTTGGAACATACTTACAAGTCAGGATTTGTGAAATGTGTAATTTGACAAGTGAGTCCTCCTAAGTTTATAATGACCACATTTCTTATGTAATCATGTACAAGGAGCCACTATTTGTCATATAACTATTTTGTTTTGGATAAATGGATTTAGATGTGGTTTTAAAACATTTGTATTTATGTTTTCTTTTTTAGGGGCAAAGAGGCCCCGAGTCACTTCAGGTGGTGTATCAGAGTCTCCTAGTGGCTTTTCTAAACACATTCAATCCAGTTTGGACTTCTCTCCAGTGAACAGTGCCTCTAGGTAAGATTAATCAATAAAGATCAAATAGTTGTTGAATGTAATGTTCCCATAAGAAGGAATGCATGTATAGACTTTTTCTTAATAATGAATGTGATTTTTATCAGTGTGAGAATGGTAATGTCATATAAGAAAGGCCTGATTGATTTTATCTGAAGATATATTTTTTTCCCAAATCTTAATGCTCCAGTGAAGAAAATGTGAAGTACTCCAGTTCCCAGCCAGAACCACGGACAGGTCTTTCTTTATGGGACACCAGCCCTTCATATATTGATAAATTGGTACAAGGGATCAGTTTTTCCCAACCCACATGTCCTGATCATATGCTCCTGAATAGTCAGTTACTTGGCACCCCAGGATCCTCACAGGTAAGGGAATTTAGTTTTTTCAAGTAAGTGATGAAAAACCTCTAGTTTTTGTCATAACCTTTTTTTAAATGTATAAATCTTAGAAATATAGTATTAACACTTTAGTGTATACAGATTTTTTTTTTAACAAGGAGGAGAGAATTAGAGGATGCTTTCCTGTATAAGAATCTTAAGTCACAGAAAAGAATTTTCTGACCAAATAGCTATGATATGACTGCTTTTGGTAATACCAAATTTATTCAGGTTTCCTCTCTTTGACATGTAGAACCCTTGGCAGCGCTTGGTTAAAAGGATGACACGATTTTTTACCAAATTGGATGCAGACAAATCTTATCAATGCCTGAAAGAGACTTGTGAGAAATTGGGCTATCAGTGGAAAAAGAGTTGTATGAATCAGGTATGTTTCATTGATTTTCCTGAAGAAAAATGTAAATATTTAAGTAAAAAACGATCATTATCAGTATATTTTTGAAAAAGAAACAATTGGGGGACGCCTGGGTGGCTCAATCGCTTAGGCGTCTGCCTTTGGCTCAGGTCATGATCCTAGGGTCCTGGGATTGCTTCCCGCATCGGGTTCCTTGCTCAGCGGGGAGCCTGCTTCTCCCTCTGCCTGCTGTTCCCCCTGCTTGTGTACTCTCTCTCTCTTCCTCTCCCTCTGGCTCGCTCTCTCTGACCAAAAAAAAAAAAAAAAAAAAAATCTTAAAAAGAAACAATTGAGATTGAAAAGACTTAAGTAAAATGTTCTTTACCTTAAGAAATAATATTGAAAGTCTTCTTTAAGGTTATTAAAAATATCAAGAGAGGCAAATCATTGTTTTTAAAAACTGTATATACTTAAATTGTAACAGTAACAAAGATACCCTTCTATGAAAGATGAATACATTAACAATCCCATATTTCTTCCATCTCCCCTGCTCCCACCTACCGGTTTTTGTTGTTTATATTATTATAGCATATTTGTAACATTGAAATTCTAATCTGTCTTTAGACTTTTCAAAAATCTCATGTCATAAAAAACAATTAGAGGTGAATATTATGTATTGAAGAAGACTGATAAATAATGTAATGCATGATCTTTCACTAAATCATGGATTTAAAGAAAAGAAAGCTATAAAGGATGTTATTGGGATAATTGGGGAAATTTGAATATGTACTGAATATTAGGTATATTATGGTGTCAATGTTTAATTTTTTTTTTTTTTTTTTTTTTAAGATTTTATTTATTTATTCATGAGAGACAGAGAGAGAGAGAGCGAACACAAGCAGAGGGAGGAGGCAGAGGGAGAAGCAGGCTCCCAAGGAGCAGGGAGCCCGATGTGGGACTCAATCCCAGGACCCTGGGATCATGACCTGAGCTGAAGGCAGATGCTTAACCATCTGAGCCACCCAGGCGCCCAGGAGAATGTCTTTGTTCATAGGAGAAACATGTTGAAGTGTTTGTCTTCTATAGCTTGGTTGAAAAACTAAAAAAAAAAAGACAACCACATAAAAAAAGACAAGTAAACATATACTTATCTAGGTTGATAAGACCAGTGAAGGGTATATAGTTATTATTGTAGATTCTTTCAGGGTATTTTTTGTAGATTTGTAAGCTTTCAATATTAAAAGTTGGGGGAAATTGTTACTGTGCAGAAATCTGAGGCCAGCCTGACTTTCCTCTCACTTGTGTAGGTAATTTATTTATTCTTTTAATCAGGTAGGTTTACTGAGATGAAATTCACGTAACCTAAAAATCATCACTTTAACCATTTTAAAGTGTATAATTTAATGGTTTTGGTATATTCACAAGATTGTGCTACCATCATCATTTAATTCTAGAACATCCCATTGCCTCAAAAATAAACTATACCAATTAACAGTCACTCCTCCCTTTCCTGGCAGCCACTGATTTACTTTCTGTCTCTATGGACTGCTTATTCTGGATATTTCATATAAATGGAATTATATAATATCATATAAATGGCTTTTTGTGTCTGTCTTCTCTAACTTAGCATAATGTTTTCAGGGTTAATCCGCATTGTTTACATTTATCAGTATTTCATTCCTTTTTATGGGAGAATAATCTTCCATTTTGTGGTTAGAAGACTACATTTTATTTATCCATTTACCTGTTGATGGACATTTGGGATGTTTCTACTTTTTGGCTATTATGAGTAATGCTGCTATGAACATTTTTGTACAAGTTTTTGTACAAACTTTGCCAGGGCTGTCATAACAAATTACCATAGACTGGGTGCTTAAACAGCAGAAATTTATTTTTTCACAATTCTAGAGACAGAAGTCCACGATCAAGGTGCTGGCAGGTTTGGTTTCTTCTGAAGCCTCTTTTCTTGGCTTTCAGATGGCTGTCCTCTTGCTGCCTCCTCATATGGTCTTTGCTCCGTGCACATGGTTACCTATTATCTGTCTCTCTCTGTATCCTAATTTTTTTTTTCTTACAAAGATACCAGTCATATTGGATCAGGACCCACTTAGTGGTTTCATTTTAACCCAGTTACCTCTTTAAAGACCCAGTCTTCAAATACAGTCACATTCTGAGGGGTTAGGGCTTCAACATACGAATTTTGAGGGAATACAATTCAACCCATAACAATATATTTTCGATTTCTTACGTATATACCTGCTAATGGAATTGCTAAGGCGTATAGTAACTCTGTTTAACTTTTTGAGGAGCTGCCAAGTGGTTTTCCAAAGCAGCTACACCATTGTACATTCCCACCAGCAGTGTATGTGTTAAGCATCTTGTACTTTCCCAGAACATGAGGTTCCAGTTTTGCACAATAGTGGTATACCAGTGTATTTTTTAGTCATTCCTTGAAATGAGAAGTATTACAAATGTTTTTGTAATTGAGGCTAAACTTATTTATATTGCCTTAGGTTACTGTATCAACAACTGATAGGAGAAACAATAAACTGATTTTCAAAGTAAATTTGGTAGAAATGGATGAGAAGATCTTGGTTGACTTCCGGCTTTCTAAGGTACATATAACAACATGTTTTTTGTTTGCTTTTTTTTTTTTAACTTTGTTTTGCTGTTATTAAAGAAGTATTACATGTTCACTGTAGAAACCTAAAAAATATGAAAACATATAAAGGAGAAAATATGAATCAAGTTTAATCTAATCATCCAGAGAGAACAGAGACCTATTTTATACTGTATTTCATTATGGTAGTCTTACTACTTCTTTAGTATGTGCTATATGGAAATGCTCTTATATGTAGAGATTTTTTTTCAATGGCATTATATTTTTATATACATGGCATTTGTAAATATATGGTAACATTGATTTCATTCAATGTTCTGAACATTTATTTTTTGTCATTATTCTTCTAAAACATAGTTTTTTCAAATGACATTTTCCTTATTATAGAAGTTTTTTTGTAGAAAATGTAAATAAGTAAAAATAAAATAAAAATAATCCTAAATTATACTGTCCAACAGTAATTACCCTGAATATTTTAAAGCATTCTAAACTTATTTAATCCATATATATCTTTTTAATAACAATTATGTTTGTCCAAGTGTACAATATAATTAATGAGCATTCATCTGTCATAAGTAAGTCTGTGATTAATATTTATATACATAGAGTCTTATTCACATTTCTGGTTATTTCTTTAGAAATTACTGATTCTGAGGTTATAGTTTGGCCTTGGTATGTAAGACCAAAACAGCATTTTATCTGTTTGCTGAGAGATTGTATATGGCTCTAAAGGAGGTTGGAGAAATAAGTCACATTCTAAAATTGGAAATTTGCTGCATTACCATTGTCTAGATGCTTAGTATGGGATTAAATTATTAAGATCCTAGTGTAATGAAATTCTTCTCATAACTGAATCACTGGCTTTGTTGCCACAGTATTTTGGCAAGACTTCAGTGTAGTTGTGTAGCTTAATTTTAGTTTACAAACCCCCAGTGCCTATGGAAAACAATGACTTAGGTCCATAGATACCAATGCTTGAAATAGACAAGATGTCATTGTTTCTGCTCTCTGAGCCCAGTGTGGTGGGAACGGTGGTGGGCCCAAAAGCAAGTTGGAATTACTTATGTAGCTATTTCTTCTAAGACATTTGGTCCTCAGAAGAGGACCTGAAGAGAATTGTAGGTGGACATCCTTAGCTCTGTCCACCTACAATTGTCTCTACTTACCGCTAAAGAGAGTTTGATTTTATGGCAGTCTCTTTTTTGATGTTATTTTTGGATATTATTCCTAATATAGGGTGATGGATTAGAATTCAAGAGACACTTCCTGAAGATTAAAGGGAAGCTGAGCGATGTTGTGAGCAGCCAGAAGGTTTGGCTTCCTGCCACATGAGAGATCCACTGGATTCCTGGTGAATATAGTGCTGCTATGTTGACATTATTCTTCCTAGAGAAGATTATCCTATTCTGCAAACTGCAAACAATAGTCTCTGAAGAGTTGTCTTCCCTCTAGCCAAACATTTTCCAATTCTTTTTGTATGTTCTTCATACAAACAATACCTATATCTTCATTGTAAGTAAAGCTTTGGGGAACGGATGGATAGAATTCATTAGATATTTCTTCATCCTGTGTTTAGTGTCTAAAGACCCATGTGATGGAAACCAAGCTTTGGGGATACATGAGCTTACCAGCTTTTATACCAGTGTAATGAAAGATATTCTTGTCGCATTGTTAACAAAACATTTGGTTTCATCCAAAAAGTAGGTGTTTCCTATGTTGATTTAATTATATGGATGGATTAGTAATAAAGCAATCCTGTGACTTTTGGACGGTAGATTTATCAGTCTATAAAGTGAAGCCAACTTCAAAAAATATATCCCCATGATTTGTACTTATATTTTCACAAGGGCCTTACCAAGTACATAAATCTTTTTTTGAATTATAACTGTTACTTAAAATTGCAAGTAGGTATGTTTTCTCCATTGTAGTTAATAATATATAAAATACTGGTTTGTCTTTCAAGTAGAAGTTAAGCATGGACTCTAGTGCTTAACTACCTTTACTGTAAAATTACTATTGCACATTTTAAATATTTTTCTATATTATTTTCTACTTTCACAGCCATATTTTAATTCTTTATTACAGAAATAAATTCTATTTTGAAAATGAATAGCTAACTCTGTGGACTTCTTGGTGACCAAGCTTCTAGGTTGTAGGGAATAAAAGAGGAGGGAGAAGTAAGGAAGCTGTGATAGAAATAGATCTGATCCTAATTATTTTACTATTAGATTTACTAAGACTTGGTTCTTCTGATAAAATTTATATTAATATTTGAATGTATTAGGTTGGGACCTGTATTCCTTTTTCTTGGTAATTTATAAAATTAATCATTTTAGTCTGAAGCTAAGAACATGTGAAATTTTATGGTTAGAGTTTATCGCTTATTAGTATATACTGGTAAATTGTGTTCACTGCAGTATATCCATAGGAGAAATAAATTTGAAGCAATAGGTGACTCCTAAGAATTGAGCCAGTAAATTCTCAAATACGAAAAATTTTGTTCTTGAGAATTGTGACTAGTAACTCTCAAAAACAGTTATCTCAGGCTTTGACTTCTCTTGTGAGCTTTAGACCTTTACAGACACAGCCAAGCTGACATTTCCACTTGACTAATAGTGAACACAAGACCAAAACCAGCTTTTGGTCCGTCTTCCAACCTGTTCTTCCCTAGTTTCTCCCAATCCCAGTAAATGCTACATTCAGCTCTCCAGTTCCTTAAGCCAAAACCCTAGGAATCCTCCTTGACCTGGTTTTCATATTGTACATTTAATTCAGCAAATCCTATTCCATTTAGCAGATTTATCCACAATCTATCCTACTTCACACCTCTACTAGAAGCACTCTAGTTGAAGGCACTGTTACCTCTCTTTTCATATTACTTATCCTACAATAGTTCAAAAAGAGTCAGAATGATCTTTCTAAAATGTGAATCAGTTATCCTTCCCCTGTTCTCAATTCTCATGGCTTTTCATCACACTTCAAACAAAATTCAAAATTTTCTTTCTCACCTCCTGGCTTTACGGGATCTGCCCTCTTACCAGCGCCTGGGCCTCCTCTGCCCCTCTTCTTACTTATCCTGCCCTAGCTGCATCTGCTTTGCTGTTGCCATGTTTACATGAGCAGACACATTCTTATCTCAAGATCTTTTCCTTTGATGTTCCCTCTCCCTGGAGTGCTTTACTCCCAAACATTCATGTGGCTTGTGCTTCGCTTTAAGTCCTTGCTTAAGTGTCACCCATTATGCAAAGTCTTTCCTTGACTTATCTAAAATGTTACCCCACTTCTATCATTCTTTATTTTTCATCATAACACTATCTGACATTATAAGATATTTTTATTTACCTATTAAATGTCCATTTCCCTCATTGCTATGTAATATGTAAGCTCCTTGAGGTCAGGGATCCTATATGTCCTGTTCACTTCTGTGTCCCCAGCACCTAGAAGAGTGCCTAATGCATTACAGCGTGCAATGAATAGTTGTTTAATGAAGAAATAGACACTCCATTGATCCGGTCTATCCTCAGAATATATCTGAGGATATTCCCCAATCACTGTGCCACTGTTTTGTTTTCTTCATAGAACTGATTACTGTCTGAAATTATAGTCTGTCTCCCACACCAAAATGTAAACTTAGACTTCGTCATTTCTTTTCCCCTTTGTATATCTTCCCCCCCCCTTCCTGCCCCTTTGTATATTTTGTATGTGGAACAGTACCTGGAATATAGTAGGCCCTAAGTAAATATTTGTTGAATAAATAAATTAAATATCAGATGAAGAAAATGCTACAGAATATTGTAAAGGGAAGGTGAATAGATGGATAGTAAACAAACTTTCTCAGCTATTGGAATTTGTGTAGAATGAGGGGGAAGTTCCATTCAGACTTGGACAGATTAGCTCTCACAGTTAAAATTACGTGAGCATTGGCAACCGCCTCTGTAAAGAGACTGATAATAACTACATTTTAGAGTTGTTTTTAATCTTAAATGAGTTAATGTGTATAAAGAGTATAGTATACTGTGTTGCACAAAAGGCATTCAATAAACATAAGCCGCCATAATTTTTCTGCAGTGTTCATTATACTGTTGGGAGAATGTGTTTACTCCCATTATTAAAAGTAATGTTTGCTTAGTAATGAAAATTTGCAAAATGCAAAAATGGGGGGAATGGAATTACTACCGAAAGATAACAGCTAAAATTTTGATGGAAAGGTCAACGCGTGCTGCGTTGTGTGTATGCATAGTGTGGTGTATGAAGTGGGTATGATTGTTGAGATAAATATAAATACATACAATGTGTATGGTTTAACAAGCAGTTGTAAAGTTAATCTGTTTAACCAAACTCAATTGAAGAAAGATCATTTCTGGACCCTCACAAGCCTTCCCTTGTACCCCTTCCCACTCAGAACCCACTCCTTTCCCCCAGAAGTAATCATAAAATTTATTTTTATAATAATCCTCTCCTTGGTTTCCTTTAGTTTTCTCAGCTATTTATGCATCTTTATTTTATTTTTTAAAAAAGATTTTATTTATTTATTTGAGAGAGAGTGTGAGAGCGAACACAAGCAGGGTAGGGGCAGAGGGAGAAGCAGACTCCCCGCTGAGGAGGGAGTCTGATGTGGGGCTCGATCCCAGGACCCAGGACCACGACCTGAGCTGAAGGCAGACGCTTAACCTACTCAGCCACCCAGGCGCCCCTATTTATGCATCTTTAAATGACATAGTTTACTTTTGCCTATTTTAGAACTTCACATAAATGAAATTTTGCTGTATGTAATTTTTATGTGTTGCTTTTTTATTTTCATTAGCATGAATAGCTTGCATGTATCGAATTCATTGATTTTAATTGCTGTATAGGATGCCATTTATGAGCATACCACTAAAATTATGTATGCTTTCTACTGCTAATGGATGTTTGCGTTATTTACAGTTTGACACTATTATTAACACTCCTGCTAAGAACATTGTTGTTCATGTCCATGAATTCTCTAGGTCCTGGAGACTAGTGTGTATACCTATGAGTGGAATGGATGGGTTTTAGGATATGCATATCTTCAACTTAAGTAGAATAATGGCAAACTGTTTCAAAAGTGATTGTACCAATTTATACTGCCATGAAAAGAGGATGCAATTGCTGGAAAAACAGTTTGGAATGATCTATTAAAGTATCAGAATTTTAATAGCAGAATATGTGTTTCTAGTATTTCAGACTTTCCCCTCCATTTGATGCTGTCAGTCTAATTTTTGCCAAGTTACTGGTGTAATATTTGTTTGGTATTAATTTGCTCATACCTAAGTTTAAATAAGGGTGAGTATCTTATGATGTGCCTCCCCCAGTCTTTTCCCCATTTTTCTGTTGTCTTTTTTTTCTTAATGATTTCAGTTGTTTATACGGTCAGCATACTAGTTCTTTGTCAGTTGCATGTATAGCACGTACACTGTCCCATTCTGTGGCTTATTGTTTCAAATTTCATGGAGGTTTGTAATTTTAATGTAGTTCCATTAAGATCTCTCCTGGCTAGCTTTGTTTCCTATTAAGGACTCATTCTCTACTTCAAGGTCATGAAGATTTTCTTCTATATTATTTTCTAAAAACTTTATAGCATTGGCTTTCATGTTTAGATCTATAATCCACCTGAAAGTGGATTTTGTGTATAGTGTGAGGGTAGAGGTCCAGGCTCATTTTTTCCCCCCACTTGGTTATCCAGTTTAACACGGGTTAATTGCAAAGATTATCCTTTTCCTCCTGATATCCATTCAGTGTTCAGATTTCCAGTTCTTATTTTTTACAGGACACTTTTAAAAACGATTTTATTTATTTGGGAGAAAGAGAGATTGAGAGAACGAGTGGGGGGAGGGGCAGAGGGAGAAACAGACTCCCTGCAAAAGAGGGAGCTAGACATGGGACTTGATCCCAGGACCCTGCGATCTTGACCTGAGCCAAAGGCAGACACTTAACCAACTGAGCCACCCAGGTGTCACATCTCCTTCATATTCTAATTGGAATTTTTTATATTGGGTTTTGGAAATTCTTCATATGTCCTAGATACTAGTTCCTTGTTGGATATGTGGTTTGCAAATATGCTCTCCCATTCCATAGCTTGCCTTTTCATCCTCTCAACAGGTTTGAAAACAGCAAAAGTTGTAAATTTCAATGAAGTCCAGTTATTACTTCATTTTACAAATGACATTTTTGGGATCTGTTAAACACAGAGTCTAACAATCCTTTGTCTAGACTTAGACCGCAAAGATTTTTCCTATATTATTCCTGAAAGTTTTTGTTTTTTCATTTTACATTTAAGGCTGTGATGCATTTTGAGTTAATTTTTATATAAGGTATGAGCCTTAGGTTGAGTTTAAATTTTTTTTTTTTTTTTTTTTTGCCTCTCAATATCTAGTTGTTCCATTGCTATATGCTGAAAAGGTTATCTTTCCTCCACTGAATTGCTTTCAGACCTTTGTAAAAACATCAGTTGGGTGTATTTGTAGGTCTCTTTCTGAGTTCTCTGTTCTGTTTCATTGTTGTGTCTGTCTGTCTGTCCAATAATACCACACAGCCTTGATTACTATGCATATATATTGTGAATTTGGTAGATTGATTCCTTCCAATTTATCTTCTTCAAAATTGGTTTAGATATTCTAGTCCTTTGTCTTTTCATATACATTTCAGAATAATCTTGTCTGAATGTAAAAAAAGAAATTTGTTGGGTTTTAGTTTTGTTTTGTTTTGTTTTTTTATAAATTTTATTTATTTATTTGACAGAGACACAGAGAGAGAGAGGGAACACAAGCAGGGTGAGTGGGAGAGGGAGAAGCAGGCTCCCCACCGAGCAGGGAGCCTGACACAGGGCTCGATCCCAGAACCCTGGGATTATGACCTGAGCCGAAGGCAGATGCTTAACGACTGAGCCACCCAGGCACCCCTGGGTTTTAGTTTTAATTGTGGTAAAATATATACAACATAAAATTTATCATTTTAATTATTTTTAAGTGCCGGTTCAGTAGTGTTCAGTATATTCACACTGTTGTGTAATTATCACCATCATCCATTCTCAGAACTTGTTCATCTTCCTGCACTGAAACTCTTGTACCTATGAAACAGTAACTCCTCATT